CCAACCACCACCACCACCACCTCCCTCCACTCCATCCTCACTCCCATTGCTGTCGAGCTGATGACTTATAAACCGGTAGACCGGGTAACGCATTGACTCCGCTTTGGATCAGCCAGAGAGGACTAAAGTTCAAACCCTTGAGGAAGGAGGATAAGGCCGTGCATGTCTCAATCACCTCGTCACCTATTGCTTATTTAGGCTACTCATCCACCTTTTTTAGGGCAGCATCTGGATCAATGTTTGTCTCCTTGCTTCATTTGCAAAGCCATTAGCGTGCTATCTTTATTCAAAAGGCATAATATGTAAACCAACACTTTTGCTGCGCCTGAGGACACCGACTCGTTTGGTTTTGATTCCAAGGCAATGAACATCTGACACCACGTCCACACCTTGTCTTTTCTTCGGAAAGCTTTTTTTCGATGAAAAATATACATGAGATGTCTGCAAAGCCAACCGGCTGGTTGGGTTGATTCGCAGCAACATCTGAATCTCTGAAGTCGCCGGAGGCTGCAGAATGTTAAAATAAGCAAATGACTTTGGAATTTTAAACAAGCAAGCATCCAGATCACATCATGTTGTTTGCTGGAGTGCACATAGGAAGCAAATCTCCAACACGCAAACGCACAATGTCCACCAACCCGCTAATTGTTAGCAGTAGCAGCACAAATGCTGTGCTGACAGAAAGTGGCGGGGCCTGCCATTTAAAAAAAATAAAATAAATTCCACAGAGGACCGAATTGGTTAAGATGGAGAAGAGAGGGCGGGGATTGGGCTGCGCTAACCAGTCGGGCCACACCAAAGCTGAAAGGAAACAAAAAGAAAAACACGATGGAATGTGCTGCTGCCGCTCAGTGAAGAATTTATATTTCTAGGCACAACTGGGACTGAGTCATTATTGATTTTTTTTTTCTGATGGATTAAAATGTGCTGACACTCGGTGATGACAATGACAACAAGCGAGTTCAGTCAAGAACAGGGATTTGTGCGTGCGTGTATGTGCGTGCTACATTCAAGGGCACACACGTGCAGGGGGTCAGGAAAAGCAAGTGAGAACAAATCGATAACAGAGGAGGTGATGAATCGAGTGGAACTGACTTGATTTAAAGGCCAAGGGAGAGGAAGAGGATCGGAAGTGACATGACATGATGCACAGGAGTCTAAAAAAAAAAAAAAACACGGGAGAGCCATTATGCCCCGCCCCCTGCTTTGTGAGTGGTCCAAGTCATCTTGGATTGCTTTCTTTGCTGGAACGGAGACTTGCCCACTGCGCCGGATAAATTCAGAAACGACTGAACAATGTAGAGAACCAGAGCAGCTTCCGCCTTCCTCGTCCTCCATTTGTTATTCTCGCTTTGACTTCACTCACTCCCACTGAAAGACTCTGTTGCCATGGCAGCAGAGGTAAGGGCCTTGATTGTTTGCATGCACACACACACACACACACACACACACACACACACACACACACACACACACACACACACACACACACACACACACACACACACACATGCACTGATGTCTTCTCGACAACAAAATCATATGTTTGTGTCTGTCTTGTTTGGCTGTCAGTAATGGGCACCTGTATAGCCTTCATGCTGTTGCCATGGTGACCAGTATGAATCCTTCCACAGGGGCCGCCATCGGATGCAGCGCCATTCCATTCTTCGGTACGCTCACATCAACATCACACACAGACGCGCGGCCTTGCGTCACTGATCAATTGGCGCGTCGAGATTAATGGCGGCTGTCACGGCGGCTTCGCTCGAAGAAGTTCCGGGCTGGCTGGCTGGGGGATATAGAAAATGTCTGCCGCCATGAAGAGCATTTCCATGATGACTCACCCGCCGCTCTGGAGCCAGCGTGCACCAAATTTATGCCGACAGACATGATCAACAGTTTGGGGTCGGCGCACAGGGGAAAATTGAATACAGATGATCTCCTTTGCACTGCTTTCAGGTTGTCAATGTGGGATTGGATTTTTTGTCCAATCACATTTCAGCCTCGATGGGTTGCCATGCGAATCTTAACCGCCCAAGGCCTCAGAACCTTTCAAGCTTTCCACTGGAACTAAAAACTCCAAAAACAGTGAGGCTGTTTTTTCAACCAATCAGGTTGTGAGCTCTGGATGACATCAGCATTTTTCCATCCTCTGATTGGTTGGACTGAGCAAGCCAAGTTGGACTAGCAAAACACGTCTCAAGTGTTGTGCACATATTAATATGTTTAATAATCAACATATTTTAGGTGGGCCCATAACAGATTAATAGGCATAATTAATTTCCATTTACTGTATTTCTAGGTGGAAAAATGATTTGAGATGAGAACACTGCTGTGGAATGATTTAAACTTGTATCTCAAAGAACACCTGTCAAGGATGGACGGTTTGTACAATGCCAATGAGTGCAGCAGAGCAGACAAATAAAGATAAAAGCTATACTTTGACATAATATGATCGGTTTAATTGGAGGGTACTTACATTTTACATTTCATTTCAGCTGTCTTTGTGCTCACAGTCAAGGGGACAAAACACAGACAGTAAACGTTGGAATGTGCGCGCACACACACGCACGCAGGCACGCACGCACACACGCCCAGTCGTGCACATCCGCACAAACATTCTCGCCGCCGTGGCGCATCACGACCGCAGTCCAAGCTCACACCACCTAATTTAGGCTTTATGTGAAATAGCACTTTCAAAACATGTTCCACAAGTCCACCTTGGAGGAGTGTAAAAAAAAAAAATAATAATAATAAGCTGATGAACCAAACTGACGCATTTGTTCAATGTAATAAATAAATGCCTTTTTTTTTTTTTTTTTTACAGATTTTTGTCCAGCTTTTCGTCAAAAGGCAAAGCTCCATTTAAAGAGGAAGAAATAAGATGTTTGAGCACATGGTTACCATGACAACCTGAATGATGCAACCAAGTGATGTTGGGTAAGTGGATCGTTAAATAAGGCCAAAGCCTTAATTAGCGATACACTTATATATTGCCAACTTTTTTACAATTATGGTTATTATTATTATTATAATTGTTATTATGTCCAAATATGGTCAATTTCCTTTTTTTTCCACAAATCCATACTTTTGGTCTGTCTCCATGTTGTCTGTTTTTTTAAGCATTATCAACCAATTGAATTACAAAACAGTCTGAGTATAAATTGATTATTTGTCTTGAACGCTTGAATTCTCTGAGAAGTGTTGTAAAACTCTTCCTCTTCCCCCACTCTGAGGGAGCCGCGTAGCATTATGTCGCCTCAAAACTGAAAGTCAGGATGTTTTTTTTTTTGTTTGTTTTTTTTTAAAGTCGGTAACAAGTGACAATAGCTCGATCGGATACATTTGAGTAAGTCTGTTTTGTTAAAAAAAAAAAAAAAAAAAGGATAGCTGAAATGCTTCAGTTCAAAAGTCAACCACAAAGATACGAAGAAATGTCCAGATTCATTTTCACCTATTAAACTACTTGGTCAGCTTTATTTACGGCATCACTCAAAGCTTGAAGACATTTAAAAGAGTTCAGGAAGCTGATGAACCACATTTGGTTTTTTTTTTTTTTAAACATTTCCTTAAAAGTAGAAATTTTGGAGCTGTGAGGATTCCGCCTGACAGCAACAATATGCAAGTCCAGGCGGACACTTTTGGCAGTAGAGTGTATCTATAGTTCTGGTTTTGGCTAACAATAGAATGCAAAAAATAAATAAATAAATAAGCGATGCCTTGTAAGTTGAAAAACTACTTACGTTAAGGTACTCGCAAGTCAAGGTACCACTGTAACTTCCAAGATGAGCGAATGATTAAATAATTGATTGACTGATGACATCATGCTCCCCCCCCCCAATCCCCAACCGTCCAAATGGCTAAATCGTGCTTTCATCATTCAGTCGCTCTATTGGTTGAACCAGATGAGACCTCCAGCACGCATCCTGCCATCTTAATCCTCCGACATGGCGTGCCACTTGGCGATTTGGCGCCGCGGGTGCTCACAGATCTCCCGCCAGTGCTCGCCGGCCGTGCCGGCCGCCGTCGTGCCCATCAGCAGGCGTCCGAGGACCGGTTTCGAGCCGCGGGAGTTGCCCGTGTCCGAGTCCATCAGGAGCAGCTCCACGCTGGTGTCTCTCAAGCCTTCGTCGGAGGGCAGGTCAAAGGTGAAGAGCTCGTTGAAGACGGGGTTGGGAGCACACTTCTTCACGCTGGTCTTCTTCTTGCACACCCGCTTCTTCCCATGATACAGGTTGACTTTGACGTACGGATCTATGGAAGGAGCAGGAGAGAAAACCATTGAAACGTATAACGTGACTCAGCAGAAAGTGGCGCGAACCACATTTACACGTATCAGTAGGAAAAAATTGCAGCTACTGTACCCGAGGGTCCGTTGTTGTCATTCTTGGGCAGGTGGCGGGCCTTGAGGACCACCACGGTCAGCGTGTTGGTGGTGGACTGGTAACACAAGGAGAGCAGCAGCTCGCCTCGGCCTGATGACTTCTAGGATGATCCAAACGTACGGTAAGATCACGGAGTGAAATATCACATTTTGACTCTCTATTCCTCACCTTGATGTTCCTCTTGATAATCTCCCTGCTCATCAGCACGCGGCCCTCGGACAGGTCGATGCCCGAAAGCGGCACGAGGGTCTCCCCAATGATCTCATCACGGGAGAATCTGTCAAAGCTGAGCACCATGAACTGGAGAGCCAGTTCCGACACTTTGGGCAGCGGGATTCCATAAAAGCTGAAGGTTTCGTCAAAGGTCGGGTCCAGAGTCTTCCTCAGCACTCTGGTCTTCACTCGGTGCTTCTTCTCCGGTAAGAGGGTCAGCTTGATGTAGGGGTCTGAGGTCAAGGACTGCTCATCAGTTGGGCTCAAGCCATGGGCTTCCTGGAGTCAAATCAAAAACTCAGAGGATTGTGAAACTCTTAAAAAAAATGTGAAAAACAATAACAACAAATAAGAAACAAAAATAAGGGCTCAAGTCTTGTGCTTTGTGGAACACCAATGAATATAAACGGGGTTTAAGAATGCACAGGGGTTTGTCAGACGGGCTCCGGGAGGTTATTCTGAAAGTTCGGGACGGAAAGAGCCCTCGTCACCCTCTGAGCTTCCGCATAGACTTCGGTATCTCCACAAAAACCTGATCAGCTGATTTGACTCACCTGAATGTGGACAATGAAGGCCTTCTTCTCCGGTTGGTACTCCAAAGCAAAATGGAGGGTGCCGAGCCTCCCTTGTCTCTCGTCCACAGCCGGGGTCGGGGCCTGGCTGGAGATGGCGCTTGAAGGTGAGGGTAGTTCCCGCCGCTCAATCACGCCGGGCTGGGCGAAGCCGGCGTGTGGCGAGGGCAGCTCCAAGTCGGGCGAGCTGCGTACCTTGTGGTGATGAATGGGTTTGCTCGGGAAGTTGCCATTGAGGTCCCGTTGCTCGAGGTCCAGATGCAGCGCCGGTCTGGAGCCGATGGGACTCGACACCAGCTTGGGACTGGCCATGGGCGTCATGGCGTTGTGGCAGTTGCCATTCACGTCCGTTTTACTGACTTCATGCGTCGTCATGCCAGGGGTGGAGGCAAACTTCTTCTTGCCGCTGAGGCTCTCCGGATAGATGTCCACACCTTTGAGCATGTGGACAAACTTGTACGGGGGCGTCTTCTGGCCTTTGGTGTTTTTGCGCTGGCAGCAGATCCACGCAAAGGCTGACGCGGTGAAGATCAGGCCGAAGACGCTCACCACCGCAACACCTGCTGGGACCGCCACTGGAGAGCGATACAAGGAAGGCGATGAGAAATGGTGTCGAGCTAAACGGAACATCGAGCGACGCAATTGAATGTGACTGAACTAGACAAACGATGCAACTTATAGCTGGCGACTCCAGCACACATCATATAATCAATATAATTGATATGTAGATATTTGACGTTAAAAAAAAAAAAAAAAGGAGTTTCATTGTGATTGTGCGGCTCACTCTTCGCTTCTCGTGCAATGGATTGCTGCCCATGTTGTTAAGGCAGTTGAAATGGTGAACTATATTAAATGTTGATTCATGTTCTTGTCCATTCCAGCAAAAGTATCGACACGATTCACCTATGCCGGAAAGTGTTCAGGAAGTCGGCCATTTCGGTTTGAAGCAGCCATTTTAGAGGAACTCTAGGGCTCGTGTTTTCAAAAACCTCTTACTCGGAATTTCCAAGCAAATGAGTACCAATTCGCATCCAGCTTTCAGCTGGACAGATGGGCAAGGCAACAGGGATTTGCCACGAAAAGGGGGCCTGTTTATTACAGCTCTCGGCTTCAATTGTCAGTCACTAATCCTGCTACAAGTAAAGACATCAACGCTCATGCTTTTGCACAGATGTTTTTAAGACGGAAGCAGGATAAAAACAAAAAGCAGCGTCTTATGTAACACACAATGGGGATTTATGAGTGCCATTGTTCCAGCTTAGGATGAGTCCATCAATTGGAGTTTCTCTTCAAGCCATCATTTTTCAGATTGAATGCCATTTTTCCATGCGTTAACGTGCGACTGGAGAGCTTCTTCTCCGCTGGCGTGACTCAACAGAAGGACGGCGAGGCCCACCCGATCTTGATGGCTTCATTTTTTTAAGGGGCATACATATTTCGCCAGCCAGAGAAGGAAAGACATAGCGGCTGAATAGAATTGACTAAGTAATGCAAAGATGGATTTCTGTGCCAGGTCCCGATGACGTTCCTATGTTTGGAGACTGGACTGCTTTGAACGTTTGTTGAATGGCTGCCCCGCCCTAATGTGTTGAAGGCACAATGAAAGGCCAACAAAAATGGATTCGGTGGCCAGGAGTGAGATGTTTCAGCACGCCAACTGTGTAGTCTGCTTCACGTCATCGATTTCAGCTCGACAAATTAAACTTAGTCAAGATCGCATGGCGTATGCGCGACCGATCTATAGAGTCGTAAAACAAAACACTCCAACGACGCTGCCATTTTGACACTCAAAAGTGTTGAACGGTAGTCGGGTGTGGCAAAAGGTCCAAAAGGAAGCAGACTCACCAGGCTGGGCTGCGTCCTCCAGCGTCATCGGTGCCATGGTCGCTCTCCGAGGTGCTGGAATCCTTTGTTTTGGTTGGGGTGGGTTTTTTTTTTTTCTTTCCCCTTGGAAGCAGACGTGTGGGGGGGGGGAGCTTGGATTCCACTGAATGATGAATGAAGATGGAAGTCAATAACTGAAAGCAGGATGAAGAAGGTTGTTGTTTGCTATCTCCCCGCTGCTCTGCCGCTGTCCTCGGAATGTGTGCGCGCGTGTGCGTGTTAGCGTGTGCGCGTGTGTCCCACAGCCCACCCGAGCCCCCCCCTTCCCTCATCTCGTCATCCTCCCTCCCTCCCTCCTTCGTCAGGAACTCGTGGGCGTGCTGACGCAGTGGTGACGGAAGCTGCCTCGCGTTGGTTCGGTCATTGTTTTGGCCCGAGGATGAGTTCGTTACTCCATACAATAGCGACTTCGTCCATGTACCTATGCCAGTGACATGTCAAAATAAATAAAAACAAATGTAACCTTTTTCCACTGGATGGCAGAATTAACCCGTGAATGTAAAATATGAACGTTTCAATAAAGGTTGGGGATCACTGAACGAAGACCAGGAAATGGACAGTTTGATTACTTTGCCTTTGCTGCCATCTGCTGGTCACTAAATAGAAAGCAGTTTTCAGCCATCCAATGGAAAAATCCAAATTAAACGTGCCACTGGGTTTGTGTTGTTTTATTTGTTGCAGTCTCACTGTATCACATATTTGTCAATCATATGGATGCAGATTTTACGGCCTTTACGGCAGATGCCTGGTGGGCTAGCGTCTTTTGGGGCTGAGTCAGTGCCATTTAATTATTTTCCTCCATTCTACCTCAAGAGACAAGCTCACAATTTCGAGACAGCAGCCAGTTAATTAACAAACTGAACCAATCACCCCACTGATGGTGATTGGTTCTATATATCTATATAGATATATATATATATATATATATATATATATATACTGTAGATATATATAGTATAGGTAACTCGTAGCTTATATATGAAGTCTGCAAAGTGTGAATTTTTGTAATCAGAATAAGTTGGAGGATCCCTCGAGAAATGCAGAAGTAGAAGCATGTTCAAAAAGTGAGGAGAAAATCTAATACTTTTAAATTGTGTAGAATAACTTAATTACAATTATTTACTGCAAAAACATTTCTCTGTCATCCATCTAATATCTTTGCCATTGATGTATAGTGACAAGGAGAAAAAAATTCATGCTCTTTCATGAGATGACGATAGGTACTATTGACCTGTGTTTTTTTTTTTTTTTTTGGTGCTATATTCTTGAGGTTTTTCTAATGTAAAATATGTGCCTTGGCTCAATGAAAGATAACCCTTCCCCATTTGCCTGACGTATCTTCGGTTTTCGAAATATGATTTATTACAAAAACACAACAAAACAATACACAAGCAACCCACATTAAGAGAACAAGCTGGTGCAAACCCAGTCATCCAAGGAAGGACCCCGTCGAGATCACAAGACTCTTTCGGTCCCCGCAAGCGAACACGGACACGTTCAGTTTACGGCTCGACCGTCCTTTGGTGCCCTTCGAAATCGGCGCGGGTCCCGGATCGAGAGAAGTCGTGTTTTGCAGTGCAGTGTTCTTTGGATGAAAGGAGAAGAGTCCTTCAGTCACTCTCCCGATTGCACATGACCAACACGGTCTGCTCCAGAAAACGTATGACATGACACATCATGATATGGATTTTTGAAGCATCTCTTCATGACACCATCCATTGGCAGTGACGATTTTTGGGGGGCTGCTCAAGCCCCCAGTGGCTTCCGGATGAAGAAGTTGCTTCTCAAATGGAGCTTTCTTCACATGGAGCGAGGGGTGCTGCTGATTTAAACATGGGAAACTTGGCCAACTCTTCCTCTAGTCCCGATATCCCTTCCCCCAGGCTCTCATCCAGGTCAACCCCCTCCATCGGATCCCTCTCCTTCGCCTCGGAACTCCCTCCCTCCCCCCTGGCAGTCCGTCCGTCCAGAACGTCCACTGACAAAATGTTGTAGTTGGCATACGAGGTGTTTCCCCTTCCGTTTCTGGCTTTGGTGCCGCCTGTTACGGCGCTCCCACTGTTGCCATGGTGACCGCCGTTTCCCTGCTTTCGGACTTGGCTCGCGTTGGCGGCCGCGATCCCGTTGCGTTTGTCCGTCAAACAGAACCCTGGCTGCGGGGCGGAGGCGGAAGAGCCCAGCAAGTCCCGCCCCACCTTCCGTTCTTCGCGCGGACCTCTGGCGTGCCGACGTTTGACAAAGTGGATGAGCGTCGCTCCAAACAGTATGCCGGCCAGGAAGAAGAGGACATAAAAGGCCACCACGTGACGAGTGCATCCCGCCACGGCTCCCGCGGTGCTGGGGTCCTCAAGTGTCAGCTGATAGGCCGCCCGACGGCAAGTGGTGGGCTCATGGATTTGTCCTTCCTGTTTCGGGAGGGGAGACGGTTATTGGCTGGGTTGTGATTGGACTGGAGGATGAGGAGCATCGATGAACTTGTAGATAAATATGTGTGTGTGTGTGTGTGTGTGTGTGGGCCTTCAGGTGCCAAACTGAAGGCCCGGGGGCCAGATCCGGCCCGCCACGTCATTTTATGCGGCCCGCGGGAGCAAATCAAGTGTGTCAACTTTCATGATCCTTGCTGAAATCTGTGCCGAAATGTCAAATTTTCATGGGTAATAAATAACATTGAGATTTTGCATTGGCCCTCCAAGGGAAGCGGTAACTCCGAAGTGGCCCGCGACAAAAAATGAGTTTGACACCCCTGGTCTACATTTTCTATCCCGGTACCTGGCATGCACAGATGTAAGTCCCCAGTCCGTCTTTGGTGACGGTCACCTCCAGGTCAGGGTGTCGCTGCTTGGTGAGACTGTTGGGAGGGTGCTTCCAGCTGCAAGGCCTGGGAGACAGCTGGGCACACGGCAACAGGAGCTGCAGACCCAGGGACACACGTAGCTCCTTGATGGGCGGAGAACAGCGCTCTGGCGCCCACAAAGAGCAAGGAAGTGTGTGAGACGTCAAGTGGGCTTCATATTTTTTTTCAGCTGATTTGCATTTAGCAGCGTTTTTCAATTTCAAATTACGTATATGGGTGTGATAAATATACCTTCCTGGGTGTCACATTTACTTAAGGCTTCTTCGATTACATCTCCATTGCCAGGCCTGGACACACACACACACACACACACACACAC